CTCGCGAAGGACTGTCATCGCGCCGGAAAATCGCGCGCGCCTGCCGAGGCCTTGATGATACGCTCGGCAGCGTAACGACGCGCAGCGAAACAGAGAGTAAGAGTTAAGAGAATCGTCTTGCGCTCGAGAATGAATGTAGAAAAAAAAAAGGAAAAAGTCGAGCAGAGGAGGGAAAAAAACAGTCGAGAATTAGCGCTTGGCTGCATCTCTGGATGAGTGACCAGCGTGTTCACTCATTTGGAAACTTTTTTTCCTATATGTAAGTACGTGGGGCTTTTACTACGAGAGATACTACTACTACGACCGAGCTTACTACCTTTTTACAACTCGTGCGTGCCTCGTACTACTACTACTACTACTTACTACTTACTACTACTCATGATGCCTACTACGACTTGTTTCGCGACTACTTACTCACCCACACCCACACGCACGCACGCATTATTATGTATATACGCGACTATTTTACGAGTAAATTAAATGCGACGACGGCGGCGGCGGCAGCGGCGTTGGCTCTACTATACTACGATGGGGGCTCCTCTGATGCGTATACCACACGATGCGATGCCGATGTGCTGCCTCGTGTGCAGCCCCGCGATATTGCGATCGGCTTGTTTCAACTCTTAATGACGTCCGAGTAGGTACTTGCACGCACATACAGTACTCACGCACTTATATATATATACGTACGTAACATAAATCTACGTTTATTAAGTGTTGCGTTCTTCGGGGACTCGGCTCTGGCTCGTGCGTGGGTGTATATCCTACTGCTGCTACTACTACGTTTCCTCCATCTTTCAGCGATTATAGAGAGAGAGGCATCCTCGTTGTGTTTTCTTTCGCTATGCTTGACGCTGCGCTGATTATCGACGTCCATTGTCGTGACTTTTTTCCCTTTTTTGCCCGGCAATTTTGCTTTTTTATTACGTCTCAGATGTGTGTATATACTCGTCGAGATGTTGCGATAGATACGCAAATAAACGTGGCTCGAGACATAATAAATCGTACATAATGTTAAAATGCACTCGCAATCATGGTTTACGTATGTATATATACTCGTGCATATGGTTTGTATACCATTACGTGCGCGTGGCCATCATCATTTAAATATTGTAATCAAGGCATTTAAAGTTTAAAATCCCAGTTAAAGTCGTGGTCGTGTACATAGCCGCGTGTATACACACACCCATACACATACACACAGCGATCGCTTTAAACTTCCATTCGCTATATACGCACGCACACCCACAAACGTATCACGATCGCACACCCACAGAAGCTCTTTTGGCATTTTGCTTTCTATTTTCGGCGGACGAATATAGCCGCACGCGCGCGCGTGTATCCATAAAAGACACGACTTTTCACAATTTCGTAATTGGCTTTTCTTCTTTTCGCAGACTAAACTAAACGCGGCTGGTGTGGTTCCGGCGGCGGCGTCTCGCCAGTCATAAGCTTGTGTTGTTAATCGCGAGGAAGTCGTGTGTATCATACGTATACGGTATCACCAAGACGCGTTTGTTATTGTGTATGTACACACGTGTTGTCTGAATGTACCGTATAGGCATCTTATCATCCGCGATCTCTTCTCATATCTTAAAAATAATTTTTTTTCTTATCGACGTTTTTCATCTGTGCTACATGAATTTTACACCTTTGTATTTGTATACGGTGATATCGCTGCGCATTCATAATCGATCGACTTCGTCACATGCGCTCGGGCCATATCGATTTAAAGTTCTGACACTAAACGTATTGCGTACGAGAGATGCAAGATTACCTCAAAACTTCCTAAAAGTTGACAAATCGCGCGATCGTTCGACCTGATTTTGTTTCTCGAACGTTTGTTTATTGCTAGCACCGCACGCGCGGCATCGTCGAGGAAGGTATATCGAGAAACGATGATTCGTGTTTCGGTGCTGAGCTCGATCGGCACGCACACGCCTCATTATAAAAACTCATTCATCGAGCTACGATTCCAAGTATTTAATAATAGATAACCGATAACGCATTTTTATGTATACACGATGATTGTCCGAAGACTAACAGCAGATAGCCTTCCTCGGCACGCTGACCACTGTATACACGAGTACATTTCGTGGCTCTTGTATTCTTGTTTTGCATATAAAAAGACGATGAACTTTTGATCCACGACGTCGTTATTTGGTCGTTGCGCTGAACAACGCGAGAGAGTTGGCGACGACCGGGAACGAAGCCGCAGTACGCGGTCGATGATTGCGACAGCAGTGAGCGAATCATTGGATCGCGAACCGAATTGCCATAGGGATGAAGGTCATACCTTCCTCTTTTGGCTGATATGCCCGTGAAAAAAGTAAATCGCGCCGAGCAATAATGACCGTAAATATGTATATCGCGAGCTTAAGGCGCAACGTTTTTGTTGAAAAGCAAACTTCGCACTGATATACACACGTACAATATATTATAAATATAACATAATATAATTATCGCAAATATCACCTTGAACGCGAGGAAACGGGGAATGTGTCGCGGCGCGTTTACATATGCCAGAGAGTAGAGCGCGACACTCGACGAACGCGCTCCATACGACAGCCTGCGCGTACACGATATGCGTTATACAATGTATCGCTCACCGAGAGATATAACCATCCGAAGAGAGACAACACACGTCAGTCGAGCCGCGCGGAGCACTGTGCCTGCCTGCCGTATTATGGCTGTACAATATCTGCGTGTATACGCGTTCGAAGCGTTGCTGCAGATAAACAGAAAAATATTAAAAGACCGAGCGAGCTCGTATATAATGTAAGCCCGCCGCGATGCTCGCAGTTTGTATATAGGTGGTATTGGCAAGTGTATACATATACGGTAAGAAGTACAGATAGTGTCTGGTAATATGCGTACGCGCGTGTACTTGTGCTAGTGCACGTCGATAGATATACATACATGCTGTATATATAGTCCAGCGGACTTACTTGTCATCCGCGCGTAATGCATACTTATTTAAAGGCGATTACCAGGCCTTGAGAGAAGGGGAACCCAACCAAAGAAAAGCTCGCCCTGGTCGTAGACAACGTATGAGAGTGACCGTATCGAATTTTATCGCTTTACTTGTGTTATACGGTCCAAACTTATCGCGCCCGATATGCATCGATCGAACCATCGTCCAGATGAGATGCGTTATCGGCCTGTGTCTGTGGGTATAAGCGTACACTTCTTTCTTCGACGTCTATTTAAAAAAGAAAGATACTCTTCTTCCTATTATACTCGACGTCGGAGAGAAGAAAGTCAATGAATATCGCGTCATTTCGATCTGTCATCGTAAGGTATGAAGCTATTTACGTGCTCCGTATATTTGCTTCCGAAATTTACGCGCACGCACGCCCAGTGCAAGGGAAAAATCGTTTATAGAAATCGAGACTTCGCGTATACCTTTCCCACAGCGGAATTTCCATTAGAGGAGAGAAAGATCGTAACTTTATTATGATACAGGCGCTACGGGCACTAATTCAGTGGGTGAAACTCTTGGATCTCTCTTGTCCGCGCCGAGATTTGTTCCGCCGACTCCCGCACTCCTGCGCGTGCATATTAATATAATATAGTAACGATCATCGAGTAAACATCGAGCACCGAGCGTGGCTTGTTGTGAGTTAGCATGAGAGAGAGAGAGAGAGAGAGGGAGAGAAAAAAAATCGATCGAATCATAATACGCGCATTACGGGAATCACGCGCGAGTAAAAGCAACAGGCTATATACAGCGCGTTTATATGATGGGATGGAGGCTCACCAAGTTCCGAACGAAGCCCAACCGAACACATAGCCACCGCCAAGGTGCACTCGTGTAAATACATCGTTAATGAATGGCCCGGTGAGAGCTACTACCCCCTACCTCGATCGCGCATGCCTATACTCGCACGCACACACACACACACACACGTGTGCGATGATTCAACCCTTGTCACATTATTTTTTTCCCACGGCCGCTTCTTTCCTTCTGTATTCTTTTTTTCCTTCTTTTCATCGCGATATTAATGAGGGCTCGATGAGCAATTACCGACTTTTTGATTAATTTTCACCTAAAAAAGAGTATTAGCATTATTAATTTTTTCTTTCTCTTTTGTGAGTGACTTTGCTTTATTCGGATCTCTCGAGACTCTCGATGTATATTATATACAGGTTCTCGAAAAGTCACATTACTGGAAAATCTATCGAGCAGCTAGCGCCACACAAAAACATGTTATTTTTACGAGAGCGCGAGATATCAAGCTCGCGATCACGTCTCTGACTAATTTGCGTTGCGATGTTTGTTTACGTGAAAAAAAAAGGAATATAAAAACGAGAAACCAACGTAAAAACCGTGATTTCGAAGAATTTTTTCGGAGGCTCTTGGCAACGCAGGCATGTTATTGTAATAAAATAATCTTCCTCGAATCATCGAGTCATTTAAAGTACTCGTCAAAAAATTTATAAACGATGATATTTGCGTGAAAAACCTCTGCATACGCATGCGGTACGCGTCGGCGGCCTTTCGCGACGGCGTTCGAGCCGCGTCTGCTGATGCGCCGAGCTCACGCGGCAGCACTCGCCAGGCCACGATATGTTCGTATTTAAGTGTACGGCGATGCAGCAGCGGCACGTATACGCACTAAACGTGTACAATGCACATGGCAAATTTTGCCACCACCACCGCTGCACCACCACTAGCGGGACGGCATGTCGACGACTATACGTGTACTATATATACAGTGCGAACCACTACCACCGGCCCCGAAATCATTCAACGAGCAGCAGCAGCAGCAGCAGGCCCTACGCGTATTCTCTCCCGTTCTCGTTCTCTCTTTCTTTCTCGCTTTGTACAGTAGTTGTATAGTCCTCCCCACTCCGCTGCTCCCATATTCTCCTTGCCGGGCCTCTGGAGTAGCAGGCAGAGCACACCGGTACACACGCATTGTACACACACCGCTACTATACAGCGAGTTTCGGCGCTGCCACACACACACACACACAGACACTCATACAAACGCGCCCGCCGCGTACGCTCTCTGCCTGTGCCTCTCTGCTACTCAGCGATTTCGTGCGAGACCGGCATTCTGACCTGGTAAGCCGCCAGTGTCGGGTCGAGAGAGACAAGCCCAAGTCACTATACACACAACTTTTTTAATTCTCCCACTAAGTTTTTTCTCGATACACTTTGAAAAGAAACTCTGTGTCTACGACAACACACACTTACACTTTAAAACGATCGTACTGAAACTGGAACGATTGTCTGTACTTTTAACATTCACACACACCTCTACCTCTTAGCTAATTTTGTATTATTTTGTTACTTCTATACCTTTAAAGTTACGCCCGCAACAGTTTAACCAAAACTTTGACGAACAAAATAAGTGCCTTCGTTGAAGTACGATCGAAACCAAATAAACCAAGCTGAACTGCCAAAGTGTTAATTGATGTGTGTTGGTGATTGCCATTATCCACAAGGACTTTAATTTTGCGAAAATTAAACGAATTGACACGATAAGAACGAACAATTTTGTGTCCAGTGTAAAGAGTCATTGATAATAAAAGAACTTGACTTTATTGTCGATGAAATAAAATCTGCCCAGAAAGTGTATACAGTTTTTTTCGAGAATCAGCACATTCTTGATCTGTGCATAATCGCAGAGAGACGACACGTGCTCTTTCTCGACCATACACACTTGTGGCACCTCACTGCACGTTTATCAACGAGAGAGAAAAGACTACTAATAGCCCAAAACATGGATCTACTGTGTTGCGAGTCGACGTCTCAGATGGAGTGCCCGGCATACCCAGACCCGAATCTCCTCGACGACGATCGAATGCTACAGAATCTGCTCAAGAGCGAGGAACGGTATGCACCCTCGGCCACGTACTTCTCCAACGTTCAGAAGGAAATCACGCCTGTCATGCGAAAAGTCGTCGCCGAATGGATGCTCGAGGTAAAGAGACAAACATACGACGATCATTCTCATTATTCATACGCATGCACATTTCCAATCTTTCTATCCGTCTGGTATTTACTGCGTGAACGAGAAAAAACAAAAAAGGATCCGTCGTCTATCGTGTCTCGGGGGCCGAAAGAGTCATTTAAAAGACTTTACCGGGAACGCGTGCGTCCAAGCCGGCACTTTTTTCCTTTGACGATTCGCGTGAATCCCGTACAGCGATTCGCTAGATCCCCGATATCGCTTGTTATTGCACGTCTATTTTCATTCGATTTTAAAGAAGCGATCGATATAGAAATTCGTCGTTTAAAGACATTCGTGTCAGTCGCATTTTCCAACGTGCACAAGATTTATTAATTTTTGCGTTTTACGGCATTCCCGGAAAAATAATCAAGCAGTCTCTCGAAGATAAGGAAAAGCGTTTAAAAGCGCACCGGCGCCTATCGCGATTTTTCGCAAACAAAAAAGTAACGCAGTGAAAAAAATGTCCCATAGAGTCAATTGCGCAAGCCTATACTTTTGAGTACCTTTCGCAGGAAAAACTTCGAGGCAGAGAATTAATTATCGTTCTTCGAAGTGCGGTCGCGATACATTCGCGACTTGCATGTTCTATACGCATACGGGGTGCTGCTGCTGCTGCTGCACGTCTTTGCGTTATGACTATGTGCCGCGAGTGTGTGTGTATGTTTCTCGATACACATGACTTATCAGTCCTTACGTCAGCCAATACAATAATAATATATGTATCAGCGAGCTTCGACCTTATATGGGAGGTCATTGTCAGAATCGAATTATATTTTATTTTTAATTTCTCCTCCCTCCCACTTGGTACCTCTCTCTCTCTCTCTCTCTCTTGAGCTGCGCTCGATTTCGCGGACATTTAAATTTCGACACTCTTTAATCGTGCCTACGCGAGTTGGTTTTTAAACTTTTGTCATTATTATTATTCTTTCTCTTTCTCTCTCGTTCTTTTTTTTTGTCCACACTCCGAATCGCTGACTCGGGCTATTCCGTGCAAAGCTGCACACGACGCGAGGATTTTTCCTTAGCTCGTTTTGCTATACGTCGTACAAAGAGCACGCTGACCTTTGCTGGAAAAATGCTCTCTTTCTCTCTCGCTCGCTCTCCGTATCTTGTACTGCTGCGGCTGTCTTGAGACTTTGTTTTCGCGAGCCGGCGAAGAATAAATATAGATCGTGTACGCGTATAAAATGTAATGTTACGGCACTATGGAAGAGATTCGTGTACCAGTGAGACACATAGATATAGACACCCGCGGGGGGGAAGCTGTGATCGTCGTCGTACAACAACGTGCAAAGTGTTAATATACGCGATTCTCTTCCATGGATTGCTGCGCGCACACGTCTGCTGCTGTTGCTGCTGCTGTCGCGTATAGTAGCATCAGCAGCAGCAGTTGGTAGTAGAATACGTACATCGGCTTTTCGTATCGCGAGGCTGTTGAACCCCGCGACGACGTCAACTAAACGTCGACGGAATACCTATATATCTCAACGAGCGCGCTAATAGTAGTTGCGTATGTATATAGCAGCATATATACGCACATACGTAGGATATAAGTAAGCTCCTCTCGCCGGGTTGTATAATAAGTTGGCAGACGCATACGGCGACTGCCAAGTCTTTCTACGCGGACGCGTATACTCGCTAATATACGGCCTTCCTCGTGTGCATGATGCACACGCCGGGCTCTGCCCGAGGAGGAACGCGCGCACGTGTATAATAATGCCAACTTGGTCGCGTCTTCGCCGTCGTAGTCGCAGTCGTCTTCTTCATCGCCTCTTGCACTCGCATGTAATGCACGCACACACCCAACTACTAAGCCCACGTTGAGTGTACTCGCCTCTCGTATCCTCTCGATGTGTCATTGACGAAAATGCCTGCTGTGTATAGCAAATGTATAAAAGATAGACATTCTCCGAGAAAGATTATTATTTATTTTCGCTCTTATTTTTACGTAACGTCTCCGCGTTCGTGTATTCCCTATCATCGCGAGGCACTTTACTACAAAGATAGCCCGATGATGATTCTTCAGAAAAATCGACGCGTCGACGTCAATTTTCGTTAAATGAAAAATTTCTTGCAGACTTTTGCCTCGCACGGTTCGAACTATTTAACAATTCCAGATAGAGTGACCGTCTAATTTTGCGAATCGTATATTATACGTTTCTCGAGTCGATTCACAAGACATTTTTGTCACATGGCGCAAGCCTATCGAACCGATTCGCAGGAGAGAATTCGAGAAAGAGATATTTTTCCATGTACAAACGCAGCACGAATTTATAAATTGGTGAATTAAAAAAAAAAAAAAAAAATAAGTCAAGCAAGCCGAACACGAAATTTCAAATAGATCTTCACTGAAGGGAACTGTTTCTGAGACATATCTGTATTTATATGAATATAATGTACTTGTTATATATTTGATATACATAATGTGTCTCCGCGGATATTACATGCACGTTGTCGAGGCCTGCCTTTCCGTCTCACTCGCTTCCTCTCCTTACTCCTTTTTTTTATCGCCGCGCGAAATCTCCTCCTTTTTTTCAACATTGTCATTCGTCTCTTTTGTATTATGTAAAAAAAAATAATAATAATAATAGCAATGAAAATAGTATCTTATCCTATCGGCCCGCTACTCCTCTCTTTCTCACACCCGCATATAACACGCGCACAAAATGTTAATGCAGCCAGCAACGTGTCAATTACTAATAATTTTCGAACGAAGCGGCGATTAAACGAATCGGAAATCTTATTAAAGAAAATACACGCTCGAAAAATCCTCACGCACGAGTGAGTAGAAGTAGTATAGGATAGCGGGGCCGTCGTACGTGAAAGTCAGGCAAGCTATTCCCCCTTTGTAGACTCCTAATCAGCGAATCAAGGAGGAGACAGAGAGGCGCAGCGCCTAAAAATAATCATCGTATAATCGCATCCTTTTTCTCGTATCTCTCTTTCTCTCTCGAGCTTGCCATTTAAACGAGCCAATACGCTAATTTTTTTCCTGTCTCTGCTGCTGCTGCTGCTGCTGCTGCCTCACGCACCGAAAATGATCGGCTCTCTTTGCGAGCGTTTACGCAATAGCGTGTACAACTCGCAGCCGGTGCCGAGTGAGTATTTACGAGAGTATATAGCATGCGAGAGATGGTGCCTCTCTCGCAGAGAGTAATTACATGTATACACACATGGCCTGTGCGCCAGTATACTACGTGATCTGCTTCTGCTGCTGCAGCAGCAACAGCAGCGGCAGCATTTGCGGAGCATTTGTAAGAATGACCTTGACGTGCCGAGCGAGAATGAGAAGAGATAGAGGGAGAGCGCAAAAAAAAAAAGATGAGCTTAATGTATAGCATCGCGCGTTACAAGTGCTAGCCAGGTCTAAGCGATCCTCTCTTTCTCTCTCTACATACCCTTGTTGAAATATATACATGTATATATCGAGAATGAGAAGACCAAAAGAGAGGAAGAGAGTGAGAAGTGCCGGGCGATGGGTCAACGCGTTAACCAGCCCATACATAACGAGCCGCGGCGCGGCTCGTCGCGAATCTTCGAGAAAAAAAAAGCTCATTACCATCGCGATTTTCGAAACGATCGGACAATTAGCCAAGCGCAAGTAGTACGTAGGAGGCGAATTATATATAATACGCGTCGTCGCGCGCATATGTATCAATTTACGTGTTTAAAGCCTCGCGATGGCATATTTTCCGTAGCTTTACGGCGTACTTACTACTACTACTACGGCGCGCGGGGCCTTTTAAAATAGCGTGCGTTGCAAGAATGCACTGCTGCTGCTGCTGCATATATATGTTCGCGCTGCGCATCGTCGTAAGGATTATAGGCCTGTGCCGTGGACAATAATGCCCGTGCACTGCGTGGGCCTTGCAACACGCAAAGGGATGCATACATACATCATACTACGTACGCGCTGCTCTCCTTCCTTCCGATATTTCTCTTTTTACGTTTCCTGCTCCCTTTGCGTGCGTATGTGTGCGTGCATGCCTGCGTATACACGCGTTTTTGTGTTGTGTTATTGTTACGCACATCGCTTACTCGCTCTCCTTTCTTTACCTCATATCCATGTTTCTTGCGAGTTACACACATCTATATGTGTGTGTGTGTTACGTACTACAGTGCGCTACTACGTTCGTAGTAATGCAGTTGTACACAAATGAATTTTTACGTACGATATATACTCATGTGTGTATTACGTTTGTGTGTGCCCGTACGAAACAGGTCTGCGAGGAACAAAAGCGCGAGGAGGTGTTTCCGCTGGCGATGAACTACGTGGACAGGTTCCTGAGCATCTGCCCCATAAGGAAGCAGCACCTTCAGCTCTTGGGCACTGCCTGCCTGCTGCTCGCTTCGAAGCTGCGCGAGCCAAGGCCCATCTCCGCCGAGGTGCTCGTCTTTTACACCGACAATTCCATCACACTGCAAGAGCTTTGGGTAAGCAATGCGACACGATCGATTTCGATATATAATACAGAGATGAACTTGAGACACGAGTCGAGTCGTTTCAGCTTTTTCATTTTTTTCCCCCATTCACGGTCGCGTAATGGTAGTAGATAGTTGTAGTAGTAGTATTGTGACGGCGATCGCGCGAAGAGAGTCTATCGATCGATGAATCCATTCATGATTCCGAACGTGTACGAGCGCCGTGCGTAGTACAAAATTACATGCATGTACGAGAGAGAGCGTACGCGAAAGAGAAAGAAAAAAACGGGGAAAAGAATATACAACGCTTTACAATAGATAAGCGATTCTGCCTGTCTCCGCCGAAAGAATCTCATTGACTCTGCCTCGACAATGGGCAAAACTATCTGCAGACGTGTTCTCTCTCTCTCTCTCTCTTCGTACACAAGCCTATAGCATTCATCGACGGTCGTTGTATTTAGCATGTAATTTGTATAAACTTAGGCTGCCTCGCCGGAGCTCTTCCGTTGACGTTTTTTTTTTTTTTTTTTGCTTTTTTCGCATCGATTTTCAGATTCCCAATTGGCGAAGCTATGCGTGCATGCCACGACACGGGTTTTTTATAATAATAATATACGCTATAGACGAAACCGTATAGGAAACTTTATCGCATTGATAATGTCCGGCTGTATTCACGAAGCCGCGACGTGGAGGCAAGAGTTTAAAAATAAATTGACAGTGCGAGACGTCGGGCTAGCGCTAGCGTCTTTCTCTCTCTTTCTGCAGCACGAGCACGTGTTCGCATTATAATATCGCTATACGAGTGCCTGTGTGTGCTACTGCTGCTGCTATTGCTTTTGCGGTATAGAGGTTATAAAGCCCGCATGTGCTGAATTGTGCTTTTCTTTAACCTTTGAAAAGCGACGATTCGCCTTTATTTATCATCATAGTCGCTCCGAGTTCTTTTTGTTTCCTCCGTGTTCCATCGATATACTTTTATTGGCGTCTCCTTGAAACTGTCTTTACCGATCGTCGTCCTCTCGTCGTCCGATTTTTCGAAGCTTCCTTTTATGCTTTTCCTGATATTATACTTCTATTTGATATGCACGCGTGGCCGGGGTGTCACATTAAAAATCAATGTCGACATTCAAATGACGCCAGAAGTACTTATGCAGAGAGGCAGCATCATCAGCCGGTTGCCGTCCGGGTATCGATTTCCATACTCAACGCATACCTCGAACCGATTTCCCGTTCTCCTACTTTTTTCCTTCTGGTTTTTTTTCGTCGTTCTGCGTTAACGTAAATGTTATGCGACGAGACGAGTGCAGGCGGCACACGTGGTATCAGCATAGTATAGTAGGCGCACGATCGTATAGCGGATCATCCGGTGCAGACACGAGAAATATGTGCCGTACGCAGCGATAAGAGGAGAGAGAGAGGAGCTTCGATATAAAGAATTTCAAATAAAAATTGATATCGTGTAACAGTGGAGTATATATATTTTCGGGTAACAGTTACGTATTTGCACAACTGTAGCTGTTTGTCGCTCTCTCTCTCTCTCACTCTTGAGAGATATACGCGTGCACACTCGCTCGTTCGTTTAACATCCGGTCAGCTCCGAATCGAGTTGTCTTTTTTAAAAGTCCCACAGACTGACGAATCCGACTTGTCTCTATCTCGGAGCTTTAACAATCGTGAAGTCATCCTTTTCTTTGCTTGTTTTTACGTAACACAATTAAAAAAATCACGCCGAAAAACGCGTACTCGCTTGAACACACACACACACGCTCGTACACAAGCGCCTACGAGACTTGCGTAGGCAATGTTTAAACGATTTAGCACACACGGCGCACAAAACCACGTGGGCATCCGAAATTCGCCTCTAATCTGCAATTCCAATACCATATGTGCCTGGCCCGTGTTCAGCGTCATTCCGCGAAGTTTGCGTACGCACGCACGCACAGCGTGTGCAACGCCAGCAGCTCACGCATCGACGAAACAAGATGAAAATAAAAATCCCTGAGAGCCGCTGATACATCGGAGTAGTAGTATAGTATCCATAGTAATCATCGTAGTATATCGTAAAAACGTAGTACAAACGCGGCACTCGGGCGTAAAAATGTGCGTACTACTACTACTACTACGTTCGAGAGCTTATTTTTTTGGACGCGCTGCTGCCGCCGATGACGCGACTTTTTAGCTACGCCACTACTGTATATGAAGAAGCCTCTGCCTCTCTTGCTATTTCAGGATCGCCACTCAGCCAGCAATATGTATGCATATATACGTCGCTTGTCTGTAGGCCGACTATAAAAGCCCAAAAGCAGCAGAAGCGGCAGAGCTTCTTGCGGAAATAAAAGTCGTGATTCGACAAGAGCTGCTGCTGTTTTTTCTTTTACCTCGGCTTTTTTTTCTATTGAGGATAAATCAAGTATGCAAAATGTCTATCGAAAAATAGTGGCCAAGGAAACCCATCGCTTGTGCGCTTCGGGTAGTAGGATATACTACGCGATGAAAGAGGAGACTCGACGCGGGAGCCGTCGTGAGATACACGAACGAGGAGCGGCTTTTGCTCTTTGGAATTCGATCGTCCGCCAATGATTTATAAGTATTATACACAAACCGATGCTTCGGGATTGTCCATATATAGACCAATTTCGGCTATATTAACGCTAACGCGCATCTTCTACGTAGTACATATCGCTCTCCTGCTGCAGTACGGTAGTTTTTTAATCGTTCAAATAGACCAACGCCAAGGAGTATCGAGTTCTACTCTTTTTTACGGTATGACTCTTCGAATTCTTCTTGCCCCGATCTATTTAAATATATGTGTTTTGATGAACGAGACGAACAGCTCGCCGACCCGATAAGGCTTTACTGGGGAAACCGCATCTCGACTCGAGAGCACCCGTGTCTATGTATAGAACATGTAATATACGCTTATACACATGGCTCCCGATAAGGCCGAGTTTGGCGCGTATCTCTCGCGCGCTTACTCGCTCGCAAGCACGCGTACATTAATATGTACACGCTCGTTGTGCGGAAGCCGAGGACTCGAGGTCTAAACGCTCGAGTTTTTTTCTTCATCTGCGTGTGTGTCGGCTCCTTGCCAGGGGCCTTTTCTTTCACTCGAACCGTCTCGAGGGGACTAAGTATACGATGCACAAAGGGGATCGATTGAATCATTGGCGCGCGGGGGGTTCCTCCTATGTACCTACGCAAGATTGAAAAGCTCCGTATACGTATGTGTCCGTTCTTATATATACGTGCCGATTGAGCGCTCCTCTTCACAGCTACTTCATCATACCATCGTAGTGAATCGGCTCAACTTAACCGAGCAATTCCAATGCCAGTGCCGGAAGTAATGCGACCTTCTTCTTGCGCATCTTCCTATTTACGGATTGCGGGCAATGTGCATTGATGCACGATCTCACTAAATCATGGCAAATTCCATGCCTATTGAGCCGCATAAGAGTTGTTTCATATACGCATGCAGTCTTTATACTCGATCGCTGCAGGCGCGCAATAAGTCCAAGTGTCGACGCAGCATGAGTGGACTGACAGCAATGTACACATCCACCACCACCGAAGTATCGAGGCAACAACAACTGCGCACACAGAAGTTCCTCCCTTTGTCCCTTTTCTCCCTCTCTCTCTTTCTCTTTTCTCGACCGGTGTGCGTCGTACGCGTGTCTCGAAGACTTAATAGCTTGTGCCGGCTGCTGCTGCTGCTGCAGACTCGCCGAGGTTAATCCTGTGCAGACGCGAGCCAAGACGCGTGCTCGTGCTTTTTTTTCTTCATCTTTTTCTTCGATGACAAAGATGCAAAATAAATAACTCGTCTCTCTCTCAGCACCTGCTCCTCCTCCTCCTCCTTCTTCGAGGCGATCAGCAGCAGCGGGACCTCGCGCGTGCAGACACACGCGGCTTATTATTATCCGTCTCGATGTGTATTGAAACTCGACGACACCATAACTCGGCAATTAAGCCGGCTGATTGAATTTATGTACTTACGATGAAGCTGCAGGCCCGCACCAAATTATGATGCAATATTTTGCATATCGCCTCGTATATAACACACAAGTAAATAAATTTGCGTGTTACTCTCCGTGCGTACTACTACTACTGCGCCTCGTATATTCGCGAGTAATGAGTGCAGGAAGTAAAATCTTGAAAAAAAATCGACTTCCTGTCAGCGCATACGCATAGCGGATCAAGAGAGGCGGCGGCTACTGCTGCTGCTGCTGTTGCTGCTGCTGCTGCAACTGCTACTGCTGCACTTCACCTCGACCCGAAACACACATTCTCTCGGTGCAAAATAATAATTCTCTCTCTCTCTCGGTGTGCTCACGGTGCGTTCGGCAAGCCAAAGTCAAGAGAGAGAAAGAGAAGGAAAGAAAGAAAGGAAAAAAGAAACGCGTATGTATACAGCAGCACATATAATCGAGTATTTATAGTAGTTATAGTGTATATATAGCAGGTGAGTGAAAAGAGACGTGCAGCTCGCTCACTCGCGCGCGCGAGTCCAGGTGCACACATGCATCAGAAGAGAGAGAGGTGAGGAGAGCACGTCGCGCGTCGTCGAAGCCCGCAATGGCAGCTGCGGCGCGTTGCAAACATTTTTGATTCTTTCTTTCCTCGGCGCAGCACACACACACGCAGCTCACTACAGCTATCTGCCACCGTCGAATATTTGTATGTGTATACTATACAAGCACGACACACAAAGGTGTCGATCGTGCGTGTGTCGAGGGCACGTAATATACCGTACACAGGCGCTTGATTAGCCAGAACGACTTGTTGCGTCGTGTTTTCTACCCCTGGACTTGGCGATAGAGAGCGAGGAGAGGGGCCGCGACAAACTGTTGCTCCTTTTGATTGCCATGTGCGTGCGGCGCGTATATGCATTTCGTTGGTTCGAGCTTGCAAATTTCGCGATCGTATAAGGGTGGCTCTTGCGGATAAGCGTGATTTTATGCTTGACGGAGCTCTCGACAACTACCCTTGGCGCGCACAAGGTGCCAAGTAATAGC